AGAGGGAGAGGGAGAAGGAGAGGGAGAGGGAGAAGGAGAGGGAGAGGGAGAAGGAGAGGGAGAGGGAGAGGGAAAGAAATAGAAATATCAAGATGAAAGATAATCATTGTTTGTCTCCTGCATACCTCCCCCCTCACCCCCCAGGCATGTGTCCTGACTGGGAATCAAATTGACCTTCTAGTTCATAGGTCGATGCTCAACTACTGAGCCATGCTGATTGGGCAGAAAATAACCTCTTGAAAATTCTTTTCTCCCTTGTGAAAAGAGCAGGAGTAGCATCTTTTTTCCTTTAGGTTCTGACTAAGGACACCTAGAGCAGGGAGAAGTTATAAACCTATGTTTTATTTTTACTAAAATCCCCAAGTTTCTCCATGAAATCAATAAAAAATAGATTTAATTAACTAAAACAAATAAAAGTATTTTTGTTATGGAATCATGTTCCCCGAATTTCCTATGTTGAAACCCCAATCCCCAATGTGACTGTGTTTCAGAGAAGGGGCCTTTGAGGGAATTACAGCTAAATGATGTCATTCAGGTAGGCTCCTCATCCAGTGGGTCTGGTGTCCTTATAAGAGGAAGAGACACCAGGAGCCCCCTGCACAGAGAAAAGGCTATGAGAAGACACAGGACAAAGGTGGCGTCCATAAGCCAAGGAGAGAGGTCTTACCAGAAACCAATCCTGGCAGGACCTTGATCTTGGACTTCCAGCCTCTAGAACATTGATGAGATAAATGTCCGTTGTTCAGACTGCCCTGTCTGTGGTACTTTATGATGGCAGCCAGAGCTGATTGATACACTTTTCTTTTAAAAAATTGTTGTACAGTGTGCATGTATGAAATGCTCAGATCTCAAGCACTTGGTTTGATGAGTATTGACAGTTAAATACAACCAGGTAATCCCCCCACATTTCCAGTGAATTCCTCCCCTGCCACCTCCACTAACTCAAAGCAACCACTCTCTGACCTGCATCCCCAGGGTGAGCTTTGTCTGCACTGGGATGTCATACAAATGGGAGAGGACCTGGACTCCTCTGGCTACTCACCCTCAGTACACAGGGCAAGGTGCAACCATGGGTACTGTCCTTCTCCTCAGTCTGCAGCTGGACAATTCCTCCACAGTTTTTTGTTTTTTTTTAAATTTAATCCTCACCCAAAGATAGTTTTTTCCATGGATCTTTAATACATTGACTAATTGCTTCCCACAAGCACCCTACTGGGCCAGGGACTGAGTCTGCAACTGAGGTACATGCCCTTGATCTAGAATTGAACTCGCAACCCTTCAATCCATGGGCTGACGATCTAACTACTGAGCCAAACTGGCCAGGGCTCCATGATAGTTTTTGCTGACCAGAAAATTTTAACTTTTTCTTGAGCTAAGTGTAGCCTTCATTTGTGTGGATAGAAAACAGAGGCAGGGAAGTTATGTAACTTCCTTCAGGTCTCATGTCTTGGAGGTGGAACCATGGCCTGGGCCTGAGTGTCCTCCTCTGCCCGGTCCTCGGTGAGGTCGTTGGTTCATATGCAAACTGAGTGCACTATCTACCCCGCCCCCACCCACCACCCCCCAAGAACGTGCTGAAGACACAGTGCTGAACTCAAAGTTGGCCTTCAGTGAGCGGATCTTTGGGGATTAGTACAATCGTCAGCAAGATGCTAAGGAAAAAATGCAGCTCACTCTCTGAATGTTGTTATCATGGCAGGCTCAGTGGTTCTCCTGTTTCAGCAGAAGTTCCAGCAGGTTATTTCAACATTGACTTAATTGCACTGGGCACAGTTGGGGATGGAGTGAGCTTTCCAAGTGACAGGATAAATTAAGTCTCAGCAAAATAATGTTTAAAGTTGATTCAACAGGAAAAAGAGAACAAATAAACAAAACCAAACCAACTCCACCTTCCAAGGACAGTGGTGGGAACAAGTCACCCTGGGTCCCCACGCAGATCCCTTCTATCAACTCACAAATGACCCTCAGATTGTGCAAATTCATCTCTATTGCCACAGCGCAGGTGAAGTCCAGCTGCACCGAAATCACTGCCCTGCGGGGCTGATTCCGGCTGAAGAGAGGCACAATCTCTGGAAGAGCCCAGCTCACCTTCTTCAGGGAAACCTGCACCCCAATCTGTGGGTCTGCCAGACCCTGGCTGACAATCTCTCCAAGCTCGGGGACTCAGCAAAGAAACCAGTCTCTGCTTTGGAGCTCTGTGAGTTAATGGCCCTTGACGTTGGAAGGTAGGCCTTCCTTCTCTGCATTAGTTGCAAACTGGGGCAAACTGGGGCAGACCCAGAAGACGGGAAGAAAGGCCATCCCTCCACCCAGCACCCCACACCCCAGCGGGGGACCCCCTCACCCACCTGCCCCTGCTCCTGAACCTTGCACACAGCTGGGTTGTTCTCTCCCTCTCCTAATTCTCCCTCCTCCTCCTGCCAGCTGCAGCTCACCTCCAAGGGAATCCTCTGGTGGGGCCTGTCCCTGCCCCTTGCTCACAACTTTCACACTGGGATTGCACAGGCTATTCATTTACTGTCCCACCCATGGGACTATGAGCCCGAACTTTTGTGAAACAATTCACACACATGATCACACACACACATGTATCATCAGTCTGTGGGCTAAGGTGGGATCTAGGAGAAGGCAAGTGGAATTGTACATATATATGCACATGCCATATGTAAGGATTGAGCAAAGTAGGTCTACAGTTGTTCACATGGAAATAAAGAATAATCTTGTTTTTTGTACTCACAAGTGTACTGGTACACCTACACCCCACCACGTACTGGCCTTTCGGGTTGGTTCTCTGTAAACTGTCTTCAGTGTCCTGTGCCCATTCATTTCTCGCATGTCATTTGATTCATGCCATTCTAAGTTCTCCACATCGGTAACTATGAACACCCCAGCCCTTTGTGAGCCCAGTGTTCCTTCCAAGTCTGCCATTTGTCTCCCAGCACCATGATCTCCAGGGACAGGGAATGCAGCTCTTGACCAAGGACCCGTCAGGTTCCTTGTCCCCGGGGTGGCAACAGGCATCATGTGTGTGTGTGGGGGGGGGGGGGGGGGGGGGGCAGCCCCAGCAGAGGGGCATGTTTGCACAATGCTGTGATCCCAAGGCAGACGCTAGGAGGTCCAGTGCGCTGATGTGAGAATGATGAGCACTCGGAGTCTTGGGACAGGAAACACAGGGCCTTGATCACTCCTTCCTGCCGTAGACAAGAGGCCCGGGAACTATTGAATAGAAGGAACCTCCCGGGCCAAGAGCTTCATTTACCAATGCGGAAACGGAGGCTCAAGCAGGAGGGAGTTGATCCCCAGGACCCCACAAGGACAAATGGGGGCCACTGGCAGGTCTGAGTTGTATCCACAGTGCAGTGCAAGATTCTCAGACTCTTGTAAATTTCCCAATGATGACCGTAGAGCAGCGATTTTCAACCGTGTGCCGTAAGAATTTTTACAGCAGGCAATACCTGACTGTTTAGTCAGGGCACTGACCTCTTTTACTTTTCAAGTAAAAAAAAAAAAAGACAACAGCAAACACAACAATCAATAGCCATCCAGTGTGAATGAATCAAAGTTACTGTATAGCCATTTTTTTGTAAGATCAGCAAAGAACATTTTTGATGTGCAACAGAATTTGTCATTAGTTTATGTGCAATGAGATGAAAAAGGTTGAAAATTGTTGCCATAGGGTAATCATTGGTCACTAAGGAATTTACCCAAATACCTACTTGCTCCCCTACCAAATCTCCTAGGCCTGTTTTGGGAACCCAATTAGGAAACTGTAAAAACTGCTCATGAAGTAACCTCAAGACACGGCTGAGAATCGCCGCTCTCTGAAACCAGGCTGCACACTCCAGCCTTAAGTCTGAACGGGGAGACCGACACAGGTGCAATCTCCATTGCGACCCAGGCAGGGCAAAGTGAGCTCCAGGTGAAGGGTTTTCAGACACACAGTCCGCACTGCTCCAGGGCGTGGGGCTGCTACGGCCTCTCAGGACAGGTGCACTGTCACAGGACAGACTGAAGCTCACTCAGCACTCACAGATGAGGCCGAGGTAACACTTCCCTGTGTAAAACCTCCCCTCCTCTCCAGTGAGAATGTCTCACATCAAGAGGCCATCAGGGCGATGCTGTCAGTACGTTCTCATAGAAAAGGTTGGTGTATCTGACTCACCTATTAAGTGGCTCTGCTTAACTCTGAACATAGGGACTGACTACTAAGTCCTGTGGTAGGGGTATTTCCCAGCGAAGAAATGTCTTTACTTTGAGATTGATTTGAAATAGCAATCTTAATTTTTACAGTCATTATGAATTGCTGAACTGGACCAATAAGAAACTTTAAATAACTTAATCCCCTTAGATGTTATAATACATTCTCCTTAGTAATAGACCAATGTACGCATTTCCCATGTAGAAGGTATCTCTTTCTGTCATTAGCTAGTTGTCCTAATTTTTTCAGACCTCAGGTTTGGGGACAGCAGCTGCTCTAATGTGAAGGTGGCACACGTGCTGGTTGGGGGAGAGGGAGAGCCTGTCACAACAGTGCAACTAGGACCACTGCATGCCCTAAATTTCTGACGGGTCTCACACTAACTCCCCCTCCGTGAACCATCCAAGTTATTCAGTACTGCATACAGGAAGCAGTGCACTGATTTCTGTGCCACCGTCGCATTCCTCTCAGCATGCCAACACACACGTGCACGCACATGCACAAAGGGAGCTTCAGGGTCTGCAATGTTCACTCAGAAATGCGAGAATGAAAATCACCCTGCAGTGATGACTGCTTTTTTTTTATTGAAGTGAGGAATGACCTCACCCAGATGGCTGAAACCGTCCTTTCTCAGTTAACCATCTCCTCATTTCAGGTGTTCCCGCCGTTCTGCAGAACCACTGGGACTGTCCTGAGGGTCCACCACACGCTCACGCAGCAAAGGCTTGACCACACACAGCATGGGACAGCGCCTCACTGGATGTCATCATCATCAAAGAGATCTTCAAAATCTACATAAATGAACAAAACCATGCGTCAGTTGGGCACAGGTGAAAGATGACTTCACAGTGAATTATGTAGTCATTCAAACACAGAAAACACTGGACAATCTAATAACATAAAGGGCCTTCTCCTAGGACAGACTCGATTCTACCCACCAGGCTCAGATGCAGTTCAAGGGCAGTGCTGTCTAGAACGCAACCTTTCATGTTTCTATTCAGATGACAAGCTGAAGAAATGCAATAGGGTGTGTTCCCGACCACAAGGTGACCATCTCCCAGCCATGACTGAGCACTAGGACATGTCAGCACCCATTTGTGAGCACCTCAGCCAAGGCCGCACTCTGGTGACATGGAGGTAAGGCCAGGCAGCTGAAGAGCACAAGCCCCCCACTGCTCTCCATGAGAAGGAAATGGGGAGAGAGGTGGTGGAAGGCCTGAGCCATGTGAGAATGACTCTCTTTAAAGGAGTCAGACTGAAGACAAGCTGGAGAAACAGTCTAAGCCCCATTCCCATAGGCAGAAACGCTGCCTTTTCACAGCACACTACTTACTGCGATAGGTGGACAAAGCCATGTTCGTTTTCCCCTTTCACTTACTTTAATATATATTTTCTTCTAAATTCCCTACCACAGACATGTATCTTTTTGCAACGGGGAAAATTTGTGCAAAGCCCACTCATGTGGCCTATGCACTGAAAAGATGCAGGGGTGACGAGCTAGAGAGGGTGGGCGAGGTGCCAGGGGACTAAAGCCCCACTCCCATCCCCTCACCCTGCGTTCATGCCTCTCCAGCCACCCTGACGGTCAGTCCCACCAATGCCTGCATTCTCTCACTGCCTGGCCTGCAGGATGTCCAGCAGCTGTGAGCGCTCGCATCGTCAACCCTACCTAACCCTCACACCTTCCGAACCTCTGCTCAGGTGTCAGCTCCTAGAAACAATGCTGTCCACCCTTGTCAGGGCTCTTGTCATGGAACTGTCCCTACCTGCCCCGTCTGGTGCTGCTGTTTTGTGAAATAGTGAGTAAAGAGGATGAGCCTCGGCCATGGTTAGACGCCACTGCCTGTGGGACACAGGCCATCGGAACCTCAGTCAGCGAGCAGAAAGGACTCAGAAGCCCCATCTAAAGCCCGCATGGCCCTCTTACAGTGATGGCTTCTTAGCACGGGGTGCTCACAAGCTGACAGGCAGTGTGCACCTGTGAACAGTTGGAGGGCCCTCTGACACAGCACAAGCCCTTCTATGTTCTTCTCTAGCCTGACTCAAGGATGTAAGGGCCCTAAATTGCTGTTGATAAATGCCCACTTGGCAAGGCAGCCTGGGGCCCTCACAGATGCTTTCTCATCAGAAGTATGTTTGGAAATACTGAACACTGAAACATCATGATGTTTACAGCTACAGGCTGGTGGGGGATGCATCAGGCTCTGAAGGAGGTCATCAGAATGAGTGGTGTTAGGAGTCAGAGGTTACACTTCTACGGGGCCAGCGTTAGGGACCTCCGAAGCCGGGCCATGCCGTGGGCTGGCATTTCTGCCCAGGCTGTTCAGGAAAGGCCCCGCCTCCCACAATGTTTCCCAGGCCCCCGTGATTAGAGAACTGAGACAAATGCTACTCTGTTCTCAAGGCCCGGCTCAAGTGTCACTTCCCCCAGTTCCAACACGAGTTGGTGGCAGCCGGGACGTTGCTTCAGGGGAACAGCCAGGCTCCCTGGGAAGTCTGTACCTAACTAGGCAGACTAGTTCTCCTTTCAGGCAACGGGTGGCTCAAAAGGAGCCAGAAAAAATAGCCTGGACTCTGCTTTTGAGGGCCTTTAATACCCTGTAAACCAATGTGACGGACAAGATAATGTCCTAATTGCCACTAACTAATGAAAAAAGTTCTTTGTAGTAGCACACACCTTGGGATAAAGGATGACAAAGGGAGAAAACACCACTCACACCCCCTAAGTAACTATAATATGTTACTCCTGATGACTTGAACCCTCAGTAAGAGTTCACATAACCTTAGGAACACTCAAAGAGATCAAGAAAAGCAGCTCCTCTAATGTACTTGAAGATCTCATATAAAGACTTCACTGTGTTTTGTTAAAACTGCATACATGCTTGTGGTACCTGGCCACGAAGGTCTAAATACCAATGGTCTCTGATGTTGGGGTTGGGGTGGGTGAGGCTGGAGAGTGGCTGCTTCTCTGTGAAGCAGCGCAGGGATAGGACCAGTGGCAAACAAGCGGGAAAACCAGCCATCCGGAGACAGTGCAATGAGAAAGCCAGACAGGTCCTCAGGCCTTGCAACTCAGGTCACTGTCCAAACCCAGATGCCCGTCGTGTGTGCAAAAGTGTATCTATGACTCAAACTCAATGGCTGGAATGTAAGACTGGGAGCAATTTTATGCTTTTTTTTTTTTTTCCTCTTCTGAAAAACAGGGCTGACTGCCAGTGGTAACAGCCACACTGTTATTTTATATAAACTGTGCTGTTATGAGAATGGCACAGAATCTGGGTTTTACTGTTCCATGATCTAAATCACTTGTGTCACCAAGTCGCTCCACTGCACAGCTTGCAGAAGAAATGTCCTGATTAAAACTGGCACCCAACCCTGCACCTTACCATTAAAGAAGTCCGAGTGAACTGCCTTTTCATTGGCTGCCAAGTCCATCAGAAGCCCAGTACTGCCTCCGGCCTGCAGAAGGGAGAGATCAGGTGTGACAGCAGCATTTTCGGAGAGAACGGTCTTTCCGGGCCTGTGCCACTCCACACAAGAGAAGGCGAGGAACAGAGAAGTGCCCAGGCTAGAGTCCAAATTCTGTTCCAGGTGAAGGAAGTGTATGTGGATGGAGGTGTGAATGTTTTTGGTCTTCTCTGGGCCTACATTCCTAAATTCCCCCTTGCCCTTCAGAGTCTGCCATTGCCTTAAGCACCACTTCTCCCTAAACCTCCAGCAGAGATTCTGAAATCCTACTGGGCGTTGCCACAGAGGCCAGAAGCCCACAACGCTTGAGTCTGAACACTGCTCTGCTCTGGACTGCTCTCTGCTCCTTCGGAGAACTAAACCATTTCCTCCCGGGAACCGACCTGCTGACGGGTTCAGAACCCCCAAGTGCCAGAACTCTCTGGTGGCAGGAAAACCAAGCCACAACCAGAGCTGGGCAACCTGATGAGCGTAGGATCAGCAGTCTCCTTCAGCATCGCAGGTGACGGCTGGAGAGAACTCCAAGGCAGCATTCTGTACCTTGGCCCCCAGTCCCTGCTGTGCCTGGCTTCCCAACATCCCCTGGGCTTCTGCTGCACCTTTCCTGGCTCTCAGTAGGCAGGAAGAAATTTCCAGGATTCTCCACCTCCTCCCCCATCACCACAAGCCATGTGGACTCTGCCCCTTATGCACGGTGTGAGGCTTGTCCCTATCTCCACCTATCGCAGTGGTTCTCAACCTTTCTAATGCGGTGACCCTTTAATACAGTTCCTCACATTGTGGTGACGCCCAACCATGAAATTATTTTCGTTGCTATTTCATAACTATAATTTTGCTACTGTTAGTGAACTGTAATGTAAATATCTACGTTTTCCGATGGTCTTAGGCTTTACAGGTTGAGAACCGCTAGCAGGGTCGCCTAAGACCATCGGAAAACACAGATATTTACATGACGATTCCTAACAGTAGCAAAATTACAGTTATGAAGTAGCAACAAAAATAATTTTATGGTTGGGGGGGGGGTGTCACGTGTTTCCCACAACACTTTTAAAAAATGAAGCTCTGACCTCCGGCGGCGGGAACTGCGCCGGGCAGAAGACGAGATCACCGCGATGGGGTGATACGCGCGCAAGGCTGCTTCATACCCCGTATAATCGCAGGAGAGGGTCAGGGAGCAGACCGTCCCATCAAAGGGCAGAGTCACTGAACGCTAAACAGCCCTTCCCCCAGCTCCCGTGCGGTACCAGGCTCACTCCGGTCTCCCGCCCAGGAGATGAGATCTGCCGACAGCACAGCCCCGCCCTCCGTCACCCCGACTGCCCTCGCGTGCCCCGCGGCCCCGCGCGTGCGGCCTCCGTAGTCGTGCAGGGCGATCCGACTTCTGGCTGCAGGCACCGGCGGTCGTCAGCCAGGAGAGCTCGGTCGGGTCCGGGGACGCCGGCCCGCACACACGCACGGCCCTCACCTCTCACTGGACCGGCGCCTCCTCTCGCCCCACAGCCCGACTTCCGCCCCGCAGCCACCCGCCTCACCTCGTCCAGGTCCACGTAGGGCCCGGCGCCCTCGGGGAACATCTCGTCCACCGCCGGCTTCATCTCCCCTAGGCGTTCCGGGTGTCCCTGGCCCACTTCCGGGCATCGGACCGCCTCTTCCGTACGCATGTCTAGACGCCGAAGGAGCTCGACTCTATGGTATTTCTCCCCTCCCCCTTCCCTTTCCCTCCATTTGATCTGGTATGTCTAGACATTGGAGGACCACCGACTCTATGTTTCCCTATGGGCCCACAGGACTGGCCCTGAGTCCCCGCTGAAGTGGATGGGCCTTCCCGCCTGCCTGCCTGTCAGGGCACAAGGGGAGCTGCTCAGTGACATCCAGGTAGCCCACGGCCACAGACAGGTCAGCCCAAAGGGTCAGGCACAGAGTGCCCAAGCAATACTCATTAAAGAATGTGGATGGTCAAGACTCTCAAGAGAGTCAAAAGGCAGCCCAGAATGAGAGAAAAGATTTGCCAACTATATACCTGATATTAGAATTAAAATCAGGTGTATGGAGAACTGAAATGCAACAATAACAACAAATAACCCCCTTTGAAAATGGGTAAAGGACCTAAATAGACATTTCTCCAAAAAAGATACAAGGATGGCCAAAAGCCCATGAAAAGAAGTTCAACAGCACTGATCACCAATGCAAATCAAACCACAGTGATACCTCTTCACCCATCAGGATGGCTGCTGTCAAAACCCCAGAAAATAACAGAGTCAGGAGGATGTGGGGAAACTGGAGCTCTGAGGATTGTTGGTGGGAACCTACATGGCGCAGCTGTGGTGGAAAAGGGTATGGAGGTTCTCCGAAATTAAAATCAGAGTTACCGTGAGATCCAGCAATTCCACTTCTAGGTATAGACTCAAAAAGTATTGAAAGCAGAGTTTTGAGATAATTTGCACACCCATATTCACAGCAGCATCAATCACAATAGCTTAAACATAGAAGCAGCTCAGGTAACCATCACCATGGATTATGGTCCCCACAGCCATCAGGTACCAGTGATGTTGAGGGGTGAAGGGGGCTGAGAACATGGGTCAGGAGGTGGATCTGACTAAACAGGGAAACCAAGAGAGGGTTGCATAGAAGGAAACTGAACCTGTTATGAGAAATAGGATGAAGAGGGGGTCACAGCCAAATCTCAGTCCTAAACACCAGAGTGAGGTATCCCAATGGGCTGTGAGGTAGGCAGCCTGCTATTTATTGGCAGGGGTAGGGAGGGGAGGAAGGAGAGATCTGCTGAGAGTGACCTGGGGGTGGAGGTTTTTTCCTCTGAGAAAAGAAGGGTCTGCTAAGGCTTTTTACAACCCATACATGCAGCCCAGCTGTGGGCAATTGGGATGCTGCTGACACCCCATGGGGGGCATAGTTCTGGCTAGGGCGCCATGGAGTCTGCCTGGAAAGGCTCCCAGTCATTAGGGCAGCCTATGGAGAGGCAGCTGGGGACTCCATTCCATAATGCTTGTCTTAACTGGGGATACAAGAATTTCGGTGGAACGTAAATGTTCACACACACACACACATTGATAAGCAAGTCATTGGTACGGAGACACTCCTGTCAGGATGTCTTTTTTCTGATATGTTTGGTTGAGGCCTAGTTGTCCCCAGTAGGAATTTAAGACCAACCCTCATGTCCAGCTGTCATAGGAATTAGGACTTAAAAAAAAATTTGCAGTTAATTTACAGAAACCAAATTCAAACTAGCTCAAGGGAGGGAAAGAGAGACAAAGAATGTATGAGCTTTTCCCAACAGGATCAGCTCGGCCAACAGAGTCTTCCTCTGGAGAATTTAACCTGAGCCCAGGGAGGAGAAGTCACAGGTGAAGGTGAGAGGGCAGGAAGCCCCATGGAGGTATGGAGCTAGGTATGGAGCTAGTGGCCACAGGAGGCATCAGGCCTGCACACTGGGCCCAATGCCCCTTTCCCCTTTCCAGGTCCCTCACAGCATATGCCTGGATCCCGGGAGAGTCCCCTCCCACCCCGCCCTTGTGGCTGTGAGAACTAACACAACAATCTCCCAGCTTCTTGAGATAACTTGTGTGAGGCTCAGAGCGGCAGCTGCAGCCGTGATCGTAAAGAACCACCTGCCACGCCTCTCGGAGCATGAAATCATGTTCCATCACCCATCCCACCCAACATGACACATAACACACACGTTTCACAGAGCCCTACGTTTCTGATTGGGTGTGACAATTTCTGTAGTTAGATGCTGGTCCAAATACTAGTATCTACAGTTAAATAGATAGTCCTTTCTATTATTTTATTTCAATGGAAAAGCTAGTTGCTGCTTGTTAGATCGGTTTCTGATGTGGTGAGAAGGCAAAAGGGTACCGAGTGCAGCTGTGTCTTGAAAAGAAAAAAAAAGCCACAGCATGTGTTGTGCATTTTAAGCCAGGAGTTTATTGATGAGGCCGGGGCACCAGGCTGGGAACCCCTCAATCCTCCTGATAGGGGACGTGGAAGCCCAGGGTGGTTCCCAGGGGGAAATGAGCAAAGAAGGTGCGGGCCATGTCCTCGATCTGGGGGTAGGCCCCTAGTGTCTGGAAGTACTGCACGTAGTTCCAGAAGTCAGAGGTGGAGAAGGGCCAGTAGGGCATGGCCGGCAGCTCGGCATATGGGTCTGCAAGACATGTGACAGCCTGGTTCAGGGGCTGTGCCTGGTCCTGCCCTGGTTGCCCTCCAGGGGGGGCCTCAGGCAGGTGGAGGTGCCCAGCAGGGCCAGTGCAGTGAAGAGACCCTCCCAGCTAGGAGCACAGCCCAGGTCATCCCGGGCCTCCTGGTGCGGGATGAGCTAGCCTGCCCTGACTCCTGGTGAGGAGAGTGGGGAAAGGGGGAGGGGAGTCTGGCCCCTGTCCCAAACATACTGAGCAAGGAGGGGTCACTGTGGTGAGGTTGTGGGGGACTCTTGGTGGGATATCAAAGGAGACCACCCCCAATCCCCACCCTCAGAGTCTGTATGCTACTGTACTGGGGTGAAATGTCTGCGTCCTCAGGGGCTTGGAGGGTTACAACACCATGCAGAGTCTGGCTCCCTCCTTCCTGGTGTGTCCCCAGAGGCCTGGAGGCACAGTCTGGGGAAGGGACAGGGCTTTACCTCCAGCTGACTCAGGGCTCCCCTTCATCTTCTCAGAATAAGAAGCAGTGCCCACCCAACCCTTCTCTCCCCCCCCCCCGCCCCCACCAGCAGGAGAAAAGAAACTGGAGGCAGATGCAATACCTCCCTCATCCTGCACAGGCTTGGCCCCTGCAAAGAAAAAGGAGAGCAATCAGCAGGAGCGCCTCCGAGCAGGGCCCTGCCGTGCACCCACTGCCCCGAGGGGCACGAAGAGGGACAGAGCAGCCACTCACCCACCAGAGGCACCAGCAAGAGGCAGAGGGCCACCCCAGGCACCAGGCAGGTCTTCATCTTCCCCAGGCACATCCCCACCGACTGACCGAAGGACTGGGTCAGGTCCACCTGCCGCAGGAGGAAGCAGAGAGGTGGGGCCACCCACCCCCAGACCCCCAGCTCTTCCCGCCACCCCCAAAGTGGCAGCTCCTGGAAAAAAGCTCCAGTGAAAGGACAAGTCCCCAGTGTTTTCACAGCAATTTCAGTGGCTTCCAGCCATTATTCAGAGACTAGCCCATGTTTCATTGGCCTTATTTAATTTTAACAATTTTAAAAACTGCAGCCCCTCCCCCCCCAACCAGCTGCCTGTCCGAGGTTACCTGGCCGCTCCGTCCCTCAGCCTCCGTCCACAGCTCGAGGGCGTCAGCCACCAGCACACAGGCTCCTCTTTATAAAAGGCCGGACAAGGACGGAGACGTCACCTACGGGAACCGTCAAACTAAATTTATTTCATCTCCTGCCAGAGGACTGAGGGCTTCTGTGACCCTGCTGGCAGTGGACTCCCACGGGGGCACTTTTGCAGTCTCATCCAAAGATGAAATTGGGAGGAAAACATCCTTGGACAGGCCCCTTTGGAGGATTTTAGGAATGAATTCAACCCTGGCACTCATGAATCCACTCCCTCTGTGCCAAGAGAGGAAGATGTTCTGAGTTTGACGTTGGGGTTGACACCCCCCCCCCCCACAGGAGCAGGGTAATCACAGAGCTGGCCTGGGGGCCGGGAGGCAGGACGGGACCCCCAGGGAGCCCTGGATCAGGGACCCCCCCTCAGAACAGGCTGAGCAGAGTCCCAGGCAGGAAGTGGGGGTGTGCAACCCAACTTTGCATCTGCAACCGGCGCCTCCTGCTTATGTAAGCGCAGTGACTGAATCTGTGTCGGGAGGGTAGCGGTCCCAGGGTCTCTGTGGGTCCGGCTGCTCTGATTAAACCCACGATGGTAGCCACGCCTCCTCGCCCTGCCCAAGGGGTCCCATCGCCCACTGAGTCCAGGAGCACGTCCAGGGCAGCAGTCCCCAGCATCAGTGCGTCACACAGAGGGCTCCCTCACCCACGTGCTTCTTACAGCCACAGTGCACGGCATGTTGTTGGGGGAGGCGGGGAAGGGTGGCAAGCAGGTCCCAGGTGATAGATCCATCCAGCACACACCTGGGCTCCACAAGCATTTGGGCACCTGCCCCTCCAGGGGCAAACAGCCTGGCCTCTCAGCCTCCTTCTGCATCGGCCCCCTTGTCAATGAGCCACTCCCTGTCACAAGGAAATTCAGAATCCCTGCTGAGCGGACCAAAGCCAACCCTCAGGTCCATGCAGTATTATATCACCTCCACCCTGGCCCCCCATATCTGTTCCCTGGGTTTCTGTTCACATAAATGGTCACATGTTGTGACTCTGGGTCCCTCATCTTCTAGGTCAATTCTAAACCCAAGGAGCTGGTCTTATATCTACAAGCAGAGATATGATGGGCTGGGCCAAGGGGGACCAGCAGCCCCTTGCAAGACAAGTACTTCGGGGGAAACTATGCAGGTTCTTCAGGTGAGGGGGGACTGACCCCCAGATGGGTAGGAAGGTTTCTCCCAACAAAGGAGGTTTAGCAGAATTTAGAGGTTCAGGTCCCCAGCTTCATCAGAGTCTGCCCACATGTCCCCATTCAAGTGAAAAATATAACTATTCAGTGGAAACTACCTTGAAAAATGAGTGATGAGCAATGATGGTCTGTGGGAGGGTGGAGCTATGCGT